AGACTATACAAAACTCTAAATTTCCTAACTAAAATGATAGTAAACTTTAGCTGAACAGGAATAATAATTTGCCAACTATCCAATTTACTATTTTGTTGGCTCTCATCAATGGGGTTTGGAATGGACTATGAGACTAGGCCACAGCAAGTAAATTTTATGGATGACATCCTCCCCAGACTCCAAATCTAATGCGAACGGGCGAAAAAAAAAAACAAGACGGGCCAAAAAAACAAGGACCCTACATTTTAAAATTTTGACTCAATCATTGTACAAATGGTTTTGATTCAGTGGGAACATCACATATAATTTACAGCCAGCATCACATACCACTGCATCAAAGTAAGAAACAAAACATTAAATCAGAGTCTTTTCTCGTCTCCTCCCTTCATAGTATCTGCCATTCACCTTCTAGCATCTTTGCCCATTTTCGGCATGTTGACCACTGTCAGAAGGCAACAAATTTTCTTGTTCTTTTTTCAGTCGAAAATTAATGCGCGTGCTGATGTTATCCATAAAGATTACTTATTATGGCCTTAGTACAACACTATGTAGTCCACTGACTAGGGTAATGCACTGAGAAATTGGTGCCGTCATGCATATATTCAATGCAAATTTCATTAGGTAACAGCTTGTCCTACAACATCAATTCACCCACAGGACAAATTTCAGGGTTGTTTTGAGAAGATAATTACAATCATTTGTTCTTGTAATTAGTGTACTTCCTCTTAAGTAAAAAAAAAAACAACAGATGAATTAACTTGATTTTCAGGTAGACGAACAGTATTACGCGAAACATGTAGAGATAATTAACCATTCAGCTTCAATAGCGCTAGACTTAAAAAAAACAATGTTTTTACGTTATACCTTTTCTACAAATTATATGTCATGCCTTTGGACACAAGTCTGCAAATTAAGTATCATTGCAGCATGCAAAATACCTGGTTGCCCAGTTTCCCCGGGCAACCAAATTTTACTTGGGGCAACCCATTTTTGAGGCTAGGTAACCCAGTGGGCTACCTGAATTTTAAGAATGCCCCCACCCCCCCAAATCATGCCCACTTGGCTTGCACCACTGTATCTGGCAGATGCTTTTTAGTTTTAGGTATGATATCAATGGCTATTACTAGTATCAGTTAACTAAAGGCTGTTAAAATATTGTCAAAGGCTTATGTATGTAACATTACTTAATTCGAAGAAAGTAGTAACTTATACAATGTAGGTGGGGCAACCTAAAATTCTGACAGGCAACCTAATTTTTGTACACTGCATTGTTAAATTCATAATATCATATTGGGGACTCCGAGTTGGGATAGGTAGTATACTGGTACTATTATAGTAGAAAGAGTGTACAAACGTATATATTCTCACTAGTAAGTATGAGAAAAACAGAATTCAGTTTCTAATTCAAAGCCCAAAGTTATTCAGGCATTGCAACTGCCACCCACAGTCCACACTCAGCCTTACTGTTGACAATACAAACATGACATGGAAGAACGTTGTTTGCTTACGGTAACTCCCCCTTCTGTGCAGGTACCAAAAATTTAACCCCATACAGTATTGTTACAACCAGCAAAAACAGAAATATACAATTTAAGGAAGAAGAAATGTTTTTGTCACCATCAGAGACATAACTTAGGGGTAGAATACTGAATATAGCTTTAACGATCTTGAAATTATACTTTATATAAATCACATACGGATGTGACAAACACTTGAAAGAAATGTAAATATCACATGATTATATATAATATAGTTAATCATAGATATTATTTGCAAATATAAGGTGCAATGGTGCCATAACAAGATATTAATTCCTGTACTATAATATCATTGTTTTTTTTGAAATTTCTAAATTATAGAACTTCATCATGCAGCAAAAATTTTAGACAAAAAATAAAAGATAATACTTTTATTTAATAGTGATAGAAGATATTATTCGAAAGTTCTGTGATTACGTAATCGAAACAATACATTAATAATTAATTACTTTGTCCCTAAAAATTAAGACCAGACAAAATATGAAAAAGACAGCGAATAATTTTGTATCTTTTCAATTTAATTGAAGGTGATGTTTTCTTTTTGCTTCGCCCTCCCCCCTCCTTCACAATAAAATATCCATTTGTTTTGAAAGTTACGGCAATGTTTTCAGGACCTAAAATGGCCAGAAAAACAAAATATCTTTAGAGCTTATGGGGAAGACGTCATCGGAAATAATCCTTCTGCACAAAAAAGGCAAAAGCTAACGATTCCCAGCCTCGCCACTTGAACTTGGCACGAGCCCAGTGCCCTCGAATTTCAGACGACGTTATTTTTTTCCCAAGGAGGGCTGAGCAAATATAGAGAATTTTTCCTTACCGCGGCTTGCTTGGCTTTCCTCAGAAATTCTTCCATGGTTGGTCGTGTCTTATGAGCGTCTCTGAACGGTGGAAAGCGCTGGTAATTTCAAGAAATCATAGTTAGAAGGAGAAAAGTGGGAAGAAACCTCAGAGATACCATCGCATCACGGCGACTGCTCGACTCAACTGAGAATCATTTACCACTCCCCCTTACCTCGTTGCCCAATGACCTCATAAAAACGACACAACTTTCCATCTCTCTCATTACAAAACGAACGGCAAATTATCTGATTTATTTAATCCTTCTATATTAGGGGTTATACCAAGAAAGTTAGGTGGATATTCGTGTGTTTATTTTGTGAAGGAAGGAAATAAAAATGTCGAATACTGCACCCCGAGTAGTGTGTCCTACCGGGTCTCAGGTAAGATTTGACTTTTGACCTTTGGACCGGCCTGATGGAAAAGTACGGTCCGCTAGCAATATAACGGATGAACGACTAGAAAAAACAAAATATTTACTCACTCGATTTGGGAGTCTTGTAGAGAAGGAAACAAGACAGTAGAGGACAAAAGACAAGCTTAGAATAAGCAGGAATGGCCCTAAACGGGCCATGCCATTTCCCCTCTCTTCGGAAGGGAAAAGCGCTCCTGTTTCGATATGGTAGGGGACTGGCGGTACAAAAGCGCCCCCTATTAAGTAGATGTTTTACTGCATGGGATATGATGGCGATACAGACTTTAACCTTGATCAATGATTTGTTTGATATAGAAGTAGCAGTTTTAGTACTGAGGTCTTTCACTGATTGTACACTTTGTTACGGAAGTGCGGAAGCTAGTAAACGAAGAACTTTGCAGCTGGAATAATAAGAAGCACTCAGAAAGGGCGATTTGCCACTCAGTAATCAGTCTAATGGAGGCATGAAGGCAACCATTAAGCAAAGTGGTGGCTTGTTCATTAGCGCTTAGTCTACAGCGCGTATCATGACTCTGAGCTCTCACGGTTCATCATTCTAGATTGCTTTTTACCATGCGAAAGGAATGGAGTCAAAAGGCGTGCAAGTCTGATATGTATGCGCCATTCAGCATAGGTGAAGAGAAGGCCATGTTGATTTGATTATATGGATGACATCCTCTGGGAACCCCAAAACTGATGCGAGCGTGCGAATAAAAAAAGTTTGGCCAAAAAAAAAAGGTGCCTTCATTATGAAATCTACGTGGTCATGAAGGTTGAACAAATGACCGAGGCGAATAATCGACTCTTCAAATTTATTTCTTTACATTTTCGTCTTTTTCGTTTGATTTTGGCATTCTACGACATTGGTATCGTTTTCCTATGTTTTGTTTTAACCTACGGTATATATTTGCTCATTTTGCAACTGTTTTGTACGATTTACAGTTTGGTTGAAAACTTTTTTTTTTTGGAAACGGCCGAAAATTCATGCGCGCGCGGATGTCATCCATGTAATCAAATCAACATGGCCTTGTATGTAATGCAAAAGATCCAAAGAGTATAAACAAAAGATCGCAAGATTGAAACACAATACAGCAAAATAGTCCACTTTTATTCCTTAAAAATGCCCTTTCAGCCCATTCACCCCGAAAATATCCATAGAATTATCATTCAAACCTTAGCCCAGACGTTTATAAAATACATATCTTGCATATAAATACCTTGCATATAAATATATCCCATATAAATATTCAGCAATTGTTATACAACATTCTCTTAAAGCAGCATACATATATCTTACATGCAACATCTACAACGGATGTTGACGTCTGATTTCCACACATAAAATGCGTTTAAACATGTTCACTATGCAACATTAGTAAATATAAATACACTATTAGTTAGTATTATTCTATGCAGCCATATTCATTTGATACCATGGAACTGTCATATATTTGATGGCAATTTTCATTGTATTTGTGTTTAACTCATTAAGATAAAAGGATTAATATTACACTTTCTAGATGGTTTTCATGACAAAAGTTCCTTGTCTCTCTTAAAGTTTGCAATAGCTCGAAGTTAAATCTGTTTTAGCGTTACTATTACCGATGATCTATCACTGTTCAAGACTTAAAGATTCTTTTTCCCATTTTTGCACTAAATTTATGTATTAAAGCAAAAATTTCAATAACTTTGCAAGTTAATAATGGCGCAAACTAATAAGGCCCTCAGTTTAACACGTCATGAGGCCTAAAAATGACTGCACGTTAAAAAAAAGTCTAAGGTAAACAAACAAACAAACAAACATCTGCCTTCCCAGTTTGTGGTGAAATTAAAGGAAAGAAAAAAAGAAAACATTCTCTATTATCAAAACGTAAGCTATATAAATTAACAGCAAAAACATATATTGTGTAAACTGTTTAGTTCAATGCATGATATCTACCACTCTGGAAGATTTGACCAATCTCAACAATGTTATGCTAGGTATTGGTGCGCCAGCCACTTTCATTTTATGTTAATGCTATACTTTATGTCATCTTTATGTTTACATTTGTATTATGTTTTATGAGCAGCGGATTCACATAAGCACAATAAGTGCTTCCTATCCAATGCTCAAAAATCCATGTGAATAAAATAAAATAAATAAAATGCATGATATGATAAGCTAAGTCGAACTAAGTGAAGCTTCCGACGAAACCCGAAGACATTTCGGTAGCTCCTCGGTTAGAATCGGCTGGTACTGTGTGTCTTCCTAAGGTGGCCGAAGAAGCTTCGTGCCTTGCTCGGCTTTGATTCGCGTTCTTCTTTCTCCTCTTTAAGATCGTCGTCGGCTAGAGAGGACCGGAGCTGCTTCTTGAGCCAGGAGAGTGGAGCGCTCACTTTGGACCGCTGATGGTGGGACAGCATCTGTTCAAGGAATAAGGGTTCAACAATCTCTATAGATAGTTTATTGCAAGTACATGCCCGATGGCTAATTGCAGTTACAAACAACATGTATGAAGAAAGAAAATACAGTGGTATGTGAGAGTATATCTACGTCTAGCATGATACTACATGTATATTCTACAACATGCATGGTACTAGTTTTACTGGGTTCTTTGATTTTAGTAGTAAACCTGTTTTTTTCGTGGTAGGGAATAGTGGGGAAGTAAGGGAGCATTTTGGACACGGTGGTGAATAATTGTTTTCTGATGTCGTCATAAAATAGACAATTAGAGATGAAATAAATTTTGCCTTACACTGCATTTGAGGAGAAATATTTACAAATTCCGACAAAGGTAGACATAATTACACGTTTTTCAGTTATGTTCAAGTTCCTATATGGCATAATATCATATCCTTTATACTTCATTACGACAGTGGTAGAAATTGTTACAGCTAAAGACAATCATCATCAGTTGCAGTACTTTCCTACCTCTGTACTCTGTGACCTGCGTAGGTTGGACTCGGAGACCTCGGGCGGCGGTGGCTGTCGGCGCTCTCGGAAGCTCTCGTACCTCTTCGCCCCCCGCTCGAAGTGCCCCACCTTCTCCCGAACCTCCCCGAAGATGGGCGCACTGATCCTCCCCCTCCGGCGGGGAGGGGGCACGGGAGAACTCCCCACCTTCAAGGACAAATACAGTAATTTCAGTTTTGGTGTCTGAAGAAATTTAAACTGTTCTCCAAATCAAAAACGATATTAACTCACCAGAAATTTTCGACTGAATCGCTCAGTCTTCATCAGCTTTATAACCCAAGTGCTGTGGTCATGTGGCTAAAAGCCACGTGTGACGTCAGCACTGGGTCAAAGGTCGTCGGAAGTCGGTACCGCCCCCCGTCACGGTTGAGCGAAGGTTGGTATGCCCTGACGTAGATGGCTTCTTTCACCCCCCTCGCAAAGTAATCAGCACTTGAGCCATAAGCTGATGAAGACTGAGCGATGATATTACTTTTATTATATGCTAATAAACAAACAAACAAACAAACAAACACAAACAACAAACAAAACAATACCTCGTTGACGGACTCGAGGTCAGTGACCCCCAGGGTGGCCGAACTGCGCCGCTCGCCAGCCTCGTTCCTGGCCACCACTTCGTATGTCCCAGAGTCCTCTGCGCGGACGCGGAAGATCACTAGCGTGAATTCCTCCTCACTGTCCCGGATGAGTTTGTGGCGATAGTCCTGCCTGACCTCACGGCCGTCCTTCTCCCTGGGAAACAATACACAAGTCAGATGGATACAACCTAGTAACTAGAAAAGAAACATTTGCAAAGCAAATGCATGTTTACCTTCGCATACGGTCTGCTGTGTTAATTCTTACTCAAACACATTCACATACATGGTGACAGGAGTCTAAATCCCTCCTACTATAAAATTGCAACATGATGTAACCCAACACCAGTTACCATGGTGAGAGACGGTCTAATGAACCAGGTAAGAGGTCACTGTTTGGAGAAGAAGAAGAAACTGAGCAAAAAGAATATGTTTTCCTTCGGTAAACATAATCACTTATCATCAGGTAAACCAGGATTTCAGCACCAAGGAGAGCGACAATCGGTATATTTTCTTTTCCCTCTAGCTTGTTATTACTGAGACAAATCGCTTATCGTGGCCTCTACCAGCGGCAAAATGTTCCCTTAGTGCTGAGCAACTCCCCTGGCATATATTTGGCCAATTTCTACTCTCTAGCCGCTTCCTGAGGCCTGTTTTCGTACTGTGACGTACCTCTGAACCGGGTTTTCAGCACCAAGGACAGGGACAACCGGTATCTTGTCTTTTTCCCCGAGCTTAGCATAGCGTCTACCAGCGACAAACTGTTCTCTTAACACAGAACATACAACTCCCCTAGCATATCATCTGTCTATTTGGCCAATTTTTCTACTTTCCAGCCACTTTCCAAAGCCTGGTACCACTGTATCGGGTTTTCAGCACCAAGGAGAGTGACAACCGTGTTTTTTTTCTTTTCCCTCTAGCTTGTCAATTTAAAGACTAGCTATACAGATATCGTTGCAGCACATGAAATACATGGAAATTAGCTCTATTCCTGACTAAGTATACTGAATGTATACATTATAAATTGTTTGCATGTCCACGTTAAATACATCTTGTTTAAATCTATCTGTATCTGAGTGTATAGCCGGTATAACCACCCCTCGGCGTAACACACCGGCTTTGCAGACATGCGAAACTCTAGCGACTCTGTTACACCTAACACTTGTACATCTAACTGTATTAAAGTGCTGTTTGAAGCAATCTAGAGATGATGCCCCTACTGTACTTGGTAACAACGAGTTCCACCCTACGATGGTACTAGGAACCTATCCAGTGAGTGCACTATACATGACGACTTACCAGATGACCATAGGGTTGGGGAACCCTCCAATGGTACACTCCAGCCGCACTTCGGACCCCACCTTGACCATGGTACTGACCAGTCCCTTCTTAAAGAACGGAGACACGTAGTTCCTCAGAACGTCCGACATGTTGATTCCTGGCTCTTTTCCTAAACACGAAAACAAGGTGTTTTTTATCGGCACAAAGATTATATCATCAAGGGTTAAAAAAAGGCAGGAAATAAACTATATTTCCTTTGCAGCAAAGCGTGCAATAGTTCGCCAAGCAGTTTGTGCATTTGCTCAAGCCAGCAGTTTCAACTATATAAAATCAAAAAGAGAAAAAATGCAAAACAAAAACACAAGATTGCAGCATTTGAATAAGAAAATATGGCAATGGTTTACATATAGAGTACACTCCGAGTTTTGCAAGAATATGCTCCACGACATCATTATAAATAGAATCATACTTACCATCTCGAATGCTAGAAACAAATAACTGCAACAATTGTTTGCTACAAATGTACACGTTTGCCTTCCCTACCTTTACCATTCTACAGAAGAATAACTGACGGTACGAAGTGCTCATTGCACGCGATCTTTACAACGTCGGTCGTAAGTTGTCGACTAGAATCTTACATGCGATTGAAACCACTGTGTTCTACTGAAGTGTAGATATGTGTACATCATGTCTGACAGAGTGTTAGTGTGGGAGTGTGTGCGGACAGGGACAAGGAAGACCAAAACGAGCACAAACACACAACAGAAAACAAGTAGTTAGCTCTTACATTACAGATGACAGAGACAATATCGCGTCAGTACTAGTGGCAGTAGTACAGTTAGAGTTATCATATAGACACACAAAGAAAGATAGCTTAAACAAACGTGCACGTGCTACAAGAATTGAATCAAAGCCAGCAGTAGCTGTTGTCAATTAATCATTGCTAAACATAGTTGTTAATTTCATGTTTTCGTTTATATCAGGTCTAGATCCTTGAAGCGTTTGGGACAAAGTTAGCAGGTTATTTTCGTTGGCTGTACCACGCAGAATTGTGGTACATTGCACAAATATGCACGGCTAGTTATTCAAGTACATGTTTGTTTCATCGAAAAGCTAGAGAAAATCCGAGTGTACACCGTACGTGTAAGTCCTGGTGCGCTGTCACTTATGATGTCTTTGAAGTTGAAGGAAAGTCGTTTTTTCTGAGTGGAAGGAGAGAGCGCACGAGACAGGTTCTCCTCGCTTCTGGCCCGGGTCCGCAAGCGGCTCCGCCTTCCTGTGTGTACAGTACCACATCCCCACTTGGTTAAACCCAACACCAACCAACGTCATCACAGTGGGCAGTTAGGTACCGCGCGCGCGCGCCCTCTTGCAACAGAGCGCAGTACTACAGTCAAATTTCGAAGGTGGAAATTGACGTTAACACTCAACATAGTCCGTTCAAAAAATGTCCAAACGCTCACAAAGATAGCCGGGTACCTAACTGGCCCCATGGCTGTTGTGAGCAAAACAAAGTTTAACCACAATCAAAAAGTGCTTGCTGCAATTTTTTGTGTGGATTTTACTGATATAATATGGGTGGCAGTAGAGAATTCGTGCAGTGGAGGGCTTTCTTTCATGCTTGCCCTTGCAATGAATAAACCTTGGCTACAATTCAACCTTCATTTGCGTGATTTGAATGATGAAAGCCTGATGTTAAATGGTGATGCTGTGTAAGGGAATGGAGTGCTGGCATGTTATCTATGGTGACGCCTTTTTGGTTAACAAAACTGGAAAAAAAGGAGGCCTCAAAACCTAATAAATGCCGTCGATGACGTTGATAGTAGTTTTGAACCTGGGAACCTGGAAGATCTGCAGATCAGAAGAAAATCTATGAATAAATTTGAATCCTAGACCGTTGGCTCGTCCAAATGAAATGTCCACAAAATACTTTACCTATCTCTCTACCCGTCCTTGCTTTTACTAGCTGGATAGTACTAGCTCCTAGTCACATTCTACTTCTTGAAATATATGCAAGCTTCAATATATGTACAATACACTGCATTTAGAAGCCGCATGTGAGTTTTAAGCATTATTCTTGTGGCCCCTGGACTTGCAACGGTCGAACTTTTAACTACAAAATCTCCAAGCAGATCTTTTTGTGGGGAAATGCACACAGACTGGCCAATTTGATACCGTCTTACCCCCACCAAAAGATCTGCTTGGAGATTAGTAGGTCGAAGGTTTCTATTGTGCTCGGCACACAACATGGACGCAGGAAAAAGTGTTAGTAAAGAATGAAAAGTCGAGGAAAAAGGAAGCAGGGAATCGCAGTGTGGAGAAGATACACTTTTATTAGAACGAGAAGAAAATACACAAACACCGGAGCAGAATAACACACAGAGAAGTCACCATCACCATTTTGTTTGTCACCCCCAAATGAACCCAACCGCCATATTGTTATGGAAGCCCCTCACCGATTGGTTGGATGGTTGCCATGGTAACAGTTCTTATTCCCATGTGTCCCGGATGTAATGCATGTCTACGAATGGCGACTAAAAGCTATGGCTTGACATGAAATAAGGCACTACATAGTCTAAGGCACCGTATTCTAAGGCAACAATCTTAGCGTTAGGCAATGCATTGACTAGCCTGAAGCGTTGTATGCGACGCACTACATATATTCTACACAGCAAAAGCCCAAAACCCTCCGCACCTTGCCGAACAACTATCACATAGAAGAAAATCAGACAAGGTAGCTCTTCTAAACCCCACCCGAAGTTTGTCAATCGGGTCCTAAGTAGTGCAATTTGATAGTCTCGACGTTATACTACTTGTATACAGACTCGGACCATTACCAACTCGGCCCATCTCACATCTGGTCAACTCGGCCCACCCCCCTGGTCAACGGTCAACTCGGCCCACCGCCCTGGTCAACTCGGCCCACCGCCCTGGTCAAGTAGGCCCAACCACCAAATTTTTTCTCAATAACAAATACAGCCAAAACACCCACCTTAATTCTAAACAACAGTCTCATGACTCTATAGCCTTCTTTTCTCTCTTTTGAACTCTTTTCTCTCTTTCCAACCCTGCTCTGGTCGGGCCGATTTGACTGGGCAGAGCTGGCAATGGTCCGTTTAGGGAAACATTATGTCATGATGCGCTCTTTAAATATAAATGACTTACCTAATTTCTAAACATTTACACGAAGAACCAAACTTTGGTCCGCACCTTTTTTCTTCATCAGACTTACTTTTGGAGTCTTTCAACGCAAGGTATCGTGATTATAATTTAACTACCTTCATAAATAAGTAAAATACTGCTAGCGTATGGAGTTTTTACGCTTTTAAAAAACTTATAGATCTATAGTATCAGCATGGAAGTTCATCTGAGTTGGTAAAATACATGAAAAAAAAATCAAACTGTTCTCCAAATTAATTCACCAGAGCATACCAACCTTCACTCAACCGTGACGGGGGGCGATACCGACTTTCGACGAACTTTGACCCAGTGCTGACGTCACACGTGGCTAAAAGTCACGTGTCCACAGCACTTGGGTCATAAAGCTGATGAAGACTGAGAAATTCAGTCGAAAATTTCTGGTGAGATAGTTTCTTTTTAGGTTGGAGAAAAAACAGTTTAATTTTCTTCACAGATCTATAGAATCGTTTATTTTCTACACTACGGTAATTCTGAGAGTCCCGGAGCCCCGGCGATCGGCTGTACCTTCGGGCTTGGTCGTGAGTTCGACGCCTCTGCTCGGGCGACTGATGCCGTCCTTCGTCACCCCTCGGACGTAAAACTTGTACGTCGTGTCGGCCTCCAGGGCTGGGATTCGGCAGAAGGTCGTACTGATGTCGGATAGAGTCTGGTAGTTGTAGTTGTCGGTGACTGCAGGGCCGAAACTGGTGGCATACAGAACCTGGTACGTTCTGAACGTGCTGAGGGTAGGAGTGGTCCAGTACAGGGTGATGGAGTCGCTTTCTATCTTACACTTGTCCGACAGGATTTCCGGGCCTTGGGATTCTGGTGGAGAGAAGGAAAAAATTAGTGACACTTTTTGGCGATGCCTCAGGGGGGAGCCTGAGTATGAGTAGCGAAAAGCGAACACACCGCCGTCGCTATGGCAATGTCTTTTTACGTTGCAAGTCTTGTTTGGAGCATGGGTTCACTGTAGCCTGTGTTCCATCCGGATTTTGGCTCAGCAAATTTTTCGAGCGTTGCGGAGCCAAAATCCATATGGTACCCAGGCTAGGTTCATTGATGGTTGAGCAATATTGTAAGATGGAAATATGCAAGATTGCAAAAATAAACATTTTGCCTTATGTTTAAGAATCTAAACATTATTGGTTTTAATCGTAATCTATTTCTAATGTTTTTATAACTGAAATAATGCGTGAAAGTCAGCGATGTACGATATCATAACATGAAATGTGGATTGGGGGACAGCAAGCATATAGCAAGTTAGCAACAATATGGTATAGTGGTGAGAAATGTATACGAAATATTCCACAAACACTTGCATTGTATCTAGTTCAGATGTCACACAGTATAAATATCTAATGAAACAAAAAAAAGATATAATGTTAACGTTAATTACATGATGCTGACTTGGCTTAATGATATTACGGCCACAACACAAAAATAGGATAGCTTTAGTATGAGCTGTTAACAATTGTCATCCACAAACTTGTCATTAACGAATGTTTCGTGTTGTATACAAGAACAAATTAGTTGTTCTGAGTGAATTCATGAAGAGCACGCATGTGTCGAGTACTCACATATGACATGGTAATATAGGTATGTTCGAAAGAGCTCTGTTCGCAAGAGCTCTGTTCGAAAGAGTTCGGTTCGAAATAGTTCTGAATCTGCAAAAGTGAACATGGAAAGAGAAGATAGAAAGGATACCAACACAAGAGAAAGAAAGCAGCAGCAAAACAATATGAAATGGAAGCAACATTGCGAACGCATACGAAGTTACAGCCTGGTTACCAAACCTATTATAGCTCCCGATTCCTACACCCTCTCTCTATTTGCGGAAAGGATGTAGGAATCGGGAGCTATAATAGGTTTGGTAACCAAGCTAACGAAGTTACACCAAGCATAATGAAATGAAAAGGTGGAAGCGAATAATATATTTTCACAATATGTACCCTGTGTGCCAAACTCGTTTCGGGCCGATAGCTGTTCCCTTCGGCAGCCAATAGCACTTCGACCGCCTGTCGAAAATTACCGCTACGGGGGAGTCTAGCCCGGGGGGAGTTTGGCTTGCCCTACAACCCAAATTCCCCTCGGGCTTAACTCCCCCGTAGCGGTAATTTAGGTAGGCGAGCGAAGTGCTCTTGGCTGCCGAAGGAAAACGGCTAGCGGCCCGATACTAGTTTGGCACCCAGGGTACACAATATGCAATACGAGTGAAATACTATGGTGAATGGACTACTGACCTTTTACTCTCAGACTAGCAGTAGTTTTGTTGCTGCCACACTGACACGTGTATTCAGCCACGTCCTCTTTACCACAGTTGTTTACGATCAACCTTGGGGACAAAATGATGTAGCAAACAGTTATAGTTGCTCTTTCACAGTATTTGCCTCACCAATGCTTTATGATGTATGGCTAAGAGGTTTTCAGGTAAACACAATACGGTTTAAGGCATATCATTCAAGTTGTCCTTAATGCATGGTTCAGAGAACAGAAGTGAATTCAAAACGTGTCTTAATCGACGAATTCAGTATATAGTAGAGGGGATTCATTCCTCAAGTTATTCAGATATGTAATCATACATTGCCTATGTCAATGAGGTACATATACAGAAACATTTGCTATTGCTACAATGTACTTCCAATGAAGAACAAAATTATCGACAGATATCACTACGCCACGTTTCCAAAAGCTTCTGCAATTAATCATGTGCAAAGATAGCACAAAGATATAGATACTGTACAATGGCTAGTATTGACTACCAATCTACAATAATGGTCATTGACAGCCATAGCTGTTACAAAGTGTTTCCAATGACGAGCAAAAATATAGACTGATATCTTAAAAGCTTCTGCAATCATGGTAGCACAAAATATTTTGAACCCTGAACGCTGCATACCTGTGTGTGACGCCGTCCTCCTCTATTTTGTACTTTGCGCTGCAGTGGATCTGTACGCTGTTCCGTAACCACTTCACCTCGGCTTTAGGAGCGGACAGCTGGCACTCGAACGTCGCCGTCTCCTTGGAGAACACCTCTTCGTCACGGAGAATCTTCTGAAACTGGATCCCGCCGTCGTCTGTGATTGGTTGGTTCAAACGAGAAAAGGACTAACGTCATCAAGCTTCTACATGATCAACTCATTGGTGAAACTCAGAGCTGACAGGAGGCGCCACAGACTATCTGCAACCTATGATCCACTGCTCACGAAGTCAATAGGTTCTTTAGTCTATGGGATAAGTTCACCCATATAATCAAATTAACATGACCTTATTATGTTTACCGAAGAAAAACATATTGTTTTTTGCATTATTTTCTCTTTTCTTCTTCTCCAAACCAATAAGGTCAATGACCTGAACCAGCAGTCTGTCACCATGGTAACTGGTGTTGGGTTACATCATGTTGCAATTTCATAGCAGGAGGGATTTAGACTCCTATCTGACCATATATATGAATGTGTTTGAGTAATAATTATCAGAGCAGACCATATATGCGAAGGTAAACATTATGCATTTGCTTTGCAAATGGTACCTTCCTAGATTAGAAAGCTTTGTCTAGTTTTTTTTTGTTTTACCTGGAGGTGACGTGGCTATGACCACGCCTCTGCTGATCCCGGCCTTATCCACCGCTCGCACGTAGAACTTGTACTTGGTGTCCGGCTCCAGGTTACTCACGGTGCACTGCCGCTCCTTCACTCCGGATATTGTCTTATATCTAAAGGAAGGCAACAAACAAGGTATTAGAGAGTCTGTGTTTAACAAGCAGTATCTAATGGCATGCAGGTGAAATGCAGTGATTTGCTCTTGTTGACATGGTTACACTACATACATATACAAATCAAAATGTTGGTTAAACTATATGTGCATGATGATGACCACACATGAATCTGATTTTATTAGCATATTACCCATATTACTATATATGATGTTGCCTATCTCTTTGCATAAGTTGTGTTTACAATATTTTGCTTTACAATACGTTAAATATCACTTAGAAGCTCGCTTGGCATAGTTATCGATATCTGCACATCTGGATGTACTAAGGTATGTAGCCTTATCATGCTTATGATACTTGAGTTCATGATATTTTTTAGCCTCACGATATTTGAGAACAAGAAAAGACAAGAATCATGTATCCTAGATATAGATATGCACAGAATAGTTATCATACCATAAGTGTCTAACTTATTGCACTTAGCTTCAGTTGGACATGAGTCTGCAATAAACGCCATTGCCATTGTCATTGTTCTACTCTACACATAACGGATCCAGACGCTGACCTTCCGGAGCTCTGTCCGTAGAACTTGGCGTACAGCACGTGATAGACGTCACCGTGGGACGGGTCAGGGTCCTTCCACACCAGCGTGACGGAGTGCGGCGTCACCGTGCTCTCATCCGGGATGATCTCCGGCGTGCCTGGGACTGAGTGATTTAGGGCTAGAGTCACAAGACAGTCGCTTTTTATTTTCGCCGAAGGAAAACATTGTTTTTGCTACGTTTCCTCTTCTTCTTCCGTTCCAAACACTGACCTCTGACCTGGCCAATTACCTGATTTGTTGACGTCTCTCACCATGGTAACTGGTGTTGGGTTACATAATGTTGCAATTTTATAGTAGGAGGGATTTATACTTCTGTTTGTCTGCTGTTGTTCTACACGGGACAGGTACATAGACGTGTGCTTTGCCAATGACCCTTTTCATATAAAGAAACATTCTTCTTGATGTGACAAGTTAATAGAGTCAGTGTTTAGACTACTACCTCTCTGGATCGTAAGTCAAGAACTTGCTACTGACTCTAAACACTGCACATCATGGTTTGATTCTGCGAAAGCAGCGATTCTGGAAATGGGTTTTCTGTATATGCAAAATGTAGCTGATGAACAAGTTTGTTAGAGTTTTCAGGGCCAGGGGGCAAGGCTAAAACAGTTTGGAAATGATAATCAGCAGATTGGCACTATGTTTATGTAGCTGCTTTGACGTCCAGATATGGCAATCCATGTTGTTAGATCCAACTACACAATACAAATGTTATTCATAGGAGAGAAAAATCACACCATGAACACCAGTTACAGCACACTTTAAGATCTCAAGATTGGTTTGGTAAAAAGGAAATGTTATTAACACAGAAACACAACTGCCGTTAAAGAAAAGAGTTGTAGGAAAAAGAAGACCAACAGAAGCTCCAGACACCTCTAGTTGTAGAAGGAGGCACTTTATTCTGAAGAAGTCATGGTCACAAGAAATGTTACAATCTTAAGAACTGTTTTAATGGTAATGCTTAAGCTTGCTTCTGCCATGCACCCAGGAATGCCCTGATGTATATGTACGTACACTCATGTGCGTGGGCACAGCTTAAGCTTATGTCATTTTGTATATATTTTCCCTGTCTTCCAAATTTCTTGAAATAATACGTTATGGCAGGTATATATGCTGCTTTAGGGCAAAATTATTAGGTTTGTTTTTATCAATATATGGACTGACCGTACCTGAGTTAGCATGATTTCAATCAATTTCCTCAAATTGTACACAATAGTTTATCGTTAAAC